ACAAAATGCACACCATGAGCAGGCTGGAGTGTCAAACAGAGGACATGAAACAGGAAGGAGCCCCTTTATCACTTCTAAACTTACATGCTGTGCAGTCTATGGGTTGTTTTGTACCATTACCAACCAGAAGAGTACTTGAACATGGGGGTCCGTCGCACATAGTCCACTTCATAGTGGCACATGTTGTTGGAGAGAAAAGAGAAAGAGAAAAAAACAACAACACAACACTAGCAGGTTATTAACGGGAACTCAAATACGTAATAACATCACTGTACTGTGACTTCATGAAGCTTAATTTTTTATTTTTAAAAGATGCAGTATTATATAAGGGTGAATCTTTTGGCTGTGAGTCCCAACACAGTGGAACAAACCTTCCCAACCCCCACTCACCAACAAAACTAGCTGTGTCTATGAACAGTGCACACCTGTGTGGATGAGCACACTTGTATTCAAAAGGTTTCTCCATGTAACGATCTGCTAGACGGTGTGGGGGGCCATAGCCCCGTCCCCCAGGGCATGAAGCATGCATGGAGTAGATCCAGGCCCCAGACATCCAGAGGCCCCAGAGTGTGAGAGCCCAAGGAGGACCACCAGCGGGGCATCCTTGCCACCCTTCTGGGAAGAGCAAAGGAGAGCCCCTGACGAGGGGTCACCAAGCAGCCACGGAGCGGAAGCCAGAGGGGGCTGCAGTGGCGTGCCCATGGGCTCTGCCGGCAGCCAGCTGTGCCAGAGTGAACCGAGCTGCAGGCCCAGAGGCCTGAGAGCCCCCCAACTGAGTCACGGGCGCCTGGGCCCATGTTTTGCGGTAAGCTGGTACATACCTGAGTGCCCAGCCCCGGACACCAAGAACCACCAACACACCGACACCTGAGGGCAACAGCCACTGGCAGGGAGTGTGGTGAGGGCAGAAAGGCCTCTATAATTTGGAGGGCCTGAGAGAGAATGGTTAATTTTATTTTCTAGTGGGAACACACATTAACACAAACCATAAACATACCCGAAATCACAGACTCACACATACCTTTGTACCTTCATTTAATTACTTCAGGTACTTTTTGCACAACCCACTGTCATTGTTGCACGTTTCTATTGCACCGACTAGTGTATGCATCGTTCTGTTGCAGTTTTTTAATTTTTGCATACTTGCACTTTATGCAGTCCTGTGCTGATTTACTGTTACATGTAGCACCA